ATTTCTGAAAGGCTCCGCCTCTGTTTTTTTCCCTGACAGCCCGTGGTACAGCAGAAAAGCACAGTTATATTCCTGCATAGCGCCAGCTCAGCCTTCCTTGGGCTGACCGAGCCGAGCTCCTCGTGCAGTGCTGCAGCCCAGCAGCAGCTCAGGGCTCCCTGCTGACCTCTCTCCTATTTATCTGCTTCTTGTTTACACTGGGTGCCAAAACCAAGCCCCGGGTCCCAGAGCCAAACCCCAAGTCCCAAAACCATGCCCTGAATCCCAAAACCGGGCTCCGAGTCCCAGTACAATGTCCCGATGTGGTCTCCACGCACAGATCAGAGGGCAGGAGCCCTTCCCTCAGCCCCTGGCTGTGCCACGGATGGGCTTGCAGGTCTCCCGGTGAATTTTAACAGACAAGCTAGACGTTCGCATTTCTTCTGGCCACCGTCTGATGCGGCGTCTGGACTTCGGAGCAACAAGCTGCACGGGTGAGATCGTAAGGGCTGCAGAGGGGAAGCAGTCCGAGCGCAGCCCCGGCCGGGGCTCACAACCAAGCGCTCCTCCCAGGTGTCCCAGGAGCACGCAGCTCCTCCAGGGGAGCCCGGCACGTTGTCTTCCGTCGTTGCTTTCGCCTTGATCCGAGCGATATGGTAAGTTAGGCTCCTCTGAATGGCCTCTCAAAGAGCCGTCTTCCCCAGCTGATGGCGGGGAGGCTGGGAAGCCGGGGCTCACGATACACAAAGGTAGTGTGAACATGCCCCAGGGAGCCCATTGCCAAAGCTGTGTTGAAAGAGAGAAGAAAGACCACTTCCCCGCCATTGATGTGGTAATGGCCTCCAGAACACTGAAGTGTGGCTCTGTCAATGACGCACTGATCGCTATCTGAAAGTCAGTCTTCGGGGATATGAATGGAGGCTATTTTGTTCTTCTTCGGTTCCTAAATTAGTGCATCTGAGCAGCCAGCGTTGGGAGAGAGAGCGCAGCTCAAGTGGTGAGAAAGTCCGTCTTTCTCATGCTGCCGCCTTTGTGCGCTGCCCGCGGGTGAGCGGCCGGCTGCTCTCGCACGGAGCCTTGCACTGCAGTGCGAGCGATGCTGGCACCTCTCAGCCGAGAGCCGTCGGTGCGGGGCGCCTGCAGGTCAGGATGCTCTTCGCCGGGGGAACAGGCCGCTGTGCCGCTCGGGGTCCCCGCTCCGCTCCCAGCTGTAAATCCTTTCCGTAAATGAGTTACTAACGGTGCCACTGCAATGCAGAAACCTCCATCACAAATGAAGCAACAGTGACATCGCGGTAGGATGCTCCGGGGAACCTGGAGGCACCTGCAGCATCGCAGTGACCCCAGGAGTGCTCCTCACCTCCTCCGTGGCTTACAGCAGTTCTGTCCTTCCGAGCTCAGGTTTCACTTTCCCCTCCCTTACAGTGTCGGGGTCTAAATATCCTACGTGACATTTTCTCTGTGTTAGCAGGACTTTTTTCTGCTGTTTCTAGCAGCTCTGAATAGCAGAGGAAATTGGCCAACACATTCAAAAGTTAAATTAAAATCTAGCTGCAAATATTGGTGTCACTGCAGCATGAATAACTTCACTGGTTAAAGATACTGGGGGAAAGTGGAGAATCGTATCAGGCAGAAATGCAGCTCAACTCACACAGATGAAAGTAACCCAGGGCTGCTGAGGGTGACTTCCAGAATAGATATTGTGTATTTGAATTCCACATTACCAATAGCAGTGGAGGAATTGCTGTGCCATGGGTTAAGATCAGGGTATTCCATGATTCTGTGGCATTGCTGGCCTTGCTCTGTACTGACTGCTAGGATCTGTATGAGGCGTTTGGCTGGGGAAGAACTGGATTTACAAGTAGGTAATCTGCAGCAGTCATTTTGGAAAGCTTTAATCATGGGTTGTTGGTGGTGTCAGGCATTTTGTGTGGATTAAAGAATGTATGATACGTCTAGAACCCACAGAAGTAACCAAGCCTCCTGGTACAGTCATCTTCTCTCACTAGGATGTGTGGCTGATGCTCATCAAACCACTGCGCCGCTTTCCTCTCCATGTGTCCTAAAAACAAAAGGCATGAAATGTCACCCCAAGTGCAGTGTTTGTCCCTCCATCCGGAGCCACGTCTTGTGGGACCGCTTTCAACATTCTTGCTCCTTGCTGAGCTGTTGCGGTGGAAGCCTTTCCCCTTTAGAGCAATGTTATTTCTTTTCATTCAAAGAAACAACAAATAACAAACACAGCTATTTTCCATTTCAGAGTGCAAGATGTAATATCTCTGGAGACGTTAACCTTCTTTCCAGAGTTGTTTTTGTGGTTGAAAGAATAAATCTGTTATCATTAAAAAAAGAAAAAGATCTGCACCTCATTATTTCCAGAAATAAAGCTGACACGAGGAGATTTATTAACAATTGAACTGAAGAGAGATCCACCCCCAAAGACTTTGTGTTGTAGGAAGAAAAGACAGAAAGACAATGGGATGGACACAGGGGAACCTAGAAGAGGGAATTGCTCTGTAATGTTAATAAGAAAATATGTTCTTTTGGGGAGGACTGTGAGAAGCGGCTTGGCAGAGCAGGCAGGAGTTCTCCCAGCGCCCTTCTTGTCCAAGGTGCTTGGCTGAGCTCAGCTGCATGGAGCAGAGATGTGAGATGCCGTGTGTGGGCTGGCATGGCCAAGGGAGGGCTCAGGGGGGAGGAAACGTGGAGTGCAAAAGCTGCAGTGTGGCAGCTGATCCTTTCCTGCACTGCCCATCGCTGTGTCTCCCTTTCCCTGCTTCCCCCCTGCAGCCGAGCTCTGGGCTCCCTGTGCTCCCCCCATCCTGCTGGCACTGCTCCTGCTGTGCCTCCGAGGAGCAGCAGTGAAAGTCCTCCTTGTACCCATGGGAAGAGCTGCGTTGTGGCAGCTGGTGAAGTGGCAGGGCACAGACACGGTGCTGAGGTGACAGTTTTTAGGGGCAGGTTGGCTTCCTGTGAGCACTACCTGGGATGCCAGATGTCCGTGGCTCTTCTTCCAGGCCTGTGCCCCCTCCAACACCTCTCTGGGGTTTTTGGTTTGGGGCGTTTTTGTTTGTTTGTTTGTTTGTTTGTTTGTTTGTTTTTCTTCCTTCCTTTACCTCGAGGCCGTCGCCAGGTTTGTTTCCTGATCTCTGCTCAGGGCTGTCTGCTTTGAAGAAAACTTCTCACCTTTTAGTTACTGAAGGAATGTGAGGAATGAGGCCCCGTGGCCCCGGCGTTACCACCCAGCACTGCTGGCACATGCAGGGGAGGAAAAGCAAGGTGCCCACACCTGGGAACAGCCTCTGACCTGCGGGAGCTTGGTGGGGCAGCAAAGGAGGGATAGCAGTAATGTGCACACCTGGGCACTTCATTCCTGTGGCCTTTTGCTACCCTAAAAAATACCTGTTGGTAGTGCTAGCAGCAGTGTAGCTGTATATCTGCAGAACCTGATCCGCCGTGTAGAGTTTCAACTTGTTGTAGCAATTAAGTTTCCTTGACAGTATTAACTTCTAAGGGATATGGGTGAGTAAATCAGTCAGCAGGGCTGTCTGGAGGAATGTGGGTCTGGCTGCGGTGGCTCTGAGCCATGTGTGAGCACAGGTGGGCTGGCTGGGCAGGAGGGGTTGCTGCCACCCCCTGCAGCTCTCCTGGTTGTCGGATCACCACACCCTAACTTCCTATTACAGCTGCTGCGTCGCGGCACCCTGAAGAGCATCCAGCAGGGTGGTGAACAAGAGAACAGAGCTTTGGTGGATCTGAGTGTCAAAGTGGAGACTATTGTGGGCCCTATTCATCTGCTCATGGCAGCTCCGTGGTGCCAGCGTGAGCAACGAGCTGTGCTTCCCCACTGGATTAAGCCATAGGCAGCAGTGAGTTTGTGCTTGTGCTCTTCTGAGCTCTGAAATGCGCTCAGGCACATGCACACTGTGTTCACTCCCACCAGAAAACATCTGGGGACAGGGAACATCTCAAACGGCCTTCCCCATTTGCAGGTGTGCATAACTCAGGCTCCTGCAGTGACACTTGAGATTGTGTTTGTCTGTGTAAGCAATAAGCCAGTCATCATGTCCACAGAGACCTGGAATAGATACTAAAGGAGAAATATCTGCTCTGGATACCTCTTGTTATCAGTGGGGTTAAAGTCGGATTTCCAGAGCAAACGATTTCCGGTCCAGGAGGGGACCACTGCCTGCCTGGACCCACTGGCTGTGCTGGCTGGGTCTTGCTGGTGTTGCAGGATGTCTGCTTAACATCTGCTGCATTTTGCTGCAGAAGGGACCTGGTGGCCCTGTTTTCACAGCAGTGGTGTGCAAACTGAGCAATGAGCATTATCCTCACAGTGAACATCAGAGTGTGCTGCTCAAGAAAGCTTTGCTTTGTCCTGCTTTGAACCCACATGTGACTTACAAATTGTAGAGTCCTGTTTATCCACGCAGGTAATCCCAAAGCTGGGAGAGGCCCAATGCTGCTGTCTTATCTGCAGCCATCCTATGGCCTTTTCCAGCACATCAGCATCCCTTTAGACCCATGTGTGCACACAGCATGTAAATCAACCCAGAAGCCATGCAGTTAGCTGGCTGATGAGCCCAAAGAGCTGTACTCACTGCTCAGTCACTGCTTCTGATGGTGCTGAATCTAATTAGTGTCTGAGATCAACCAAACAATATGCTAGCCACCGGCCTGGCTACATGGTGTTGCTTTACCCTCACTTATCTCTGCTGCACCCATGGCTTTCAGACAGATATTTCCTGAATACAATATACAAATACAGTTCAGAGCTGCCTTGCTATTGAAGAATCCAAAGAGCCTGGTAAGCTCTTGGCATCCAGATGTGCTCTGTCTCCTGGCAGAAAGAGGTGCAGCACTTTCTGGGCTTGAATAGTGCGAGTCCTGCATTGCAGGCATTCCTGCTCCTCTCTGCACTAACTCAGAGCCCCTGGGAGGATGGTCTCTGCTTAGAGGGGTGAGATACACCACAGTGGACATTGCAGTGACATCTCTTCACCTCTGATTCCTTCCAGAGCACAGTTGGAGAGAATCGATGGCTTCAGGGGCACCTGATACAGTTGCTGCTCAGGTACTGTGATCTGAACGCAGCAGCAAGATGGGCACAACGCTGCAATTTGCCTGAGGAGATGCTGCCTTCTGAAGTGGCTGATGAGCTTCAAAAGCTTGAGATCCAAGAGAGGTAAATACCCCGTTTTGTGCCTCTTCAGTGTAGATTACTTATCACACAAGGACTGTGTATTTGCTTAAAATGATCTGCTGTAGTGCTTCCTTGCTGAGATAGTTTTGCAAAAACTTCCTCCATTTAGTGAGATCACATCTTGGTGATAAACATGGCACATTTGCTTTTCATATGCCTGGAATTGTCTGGAAAGGTGCACTTAAAGCTCACTCGTGAGAATTTAGAAGCTGTATGAGGTTGTTTCCTGCTGTGGAGGGGTCTTCAGACTCTCTGCCGGATCACCAGCACAAATGAAATGGTGTGTGCAGGATCTGAACATGCATTTACCTTATTGAGTTGATTGCATGTTTTCCATATACTCTGCATCCCCCACTGCACTCTAACCTGGTTTAATGTCTTTTGGGAGACTTATGGACAACAAAGTAGTTTTAAAATTCCTCAAAATTTCCTAATTATATTTGTTTGCTTCCTCCTTTGACAGCTGTTAACCCAGTCTGGAGGTTTTGCTTTATCCAACACTGTGAGAAGTAATGGGGATTTTTGATGATCCTAGAGGAGTTGTGTTAATAGAATTTGATGAAACCAGACTCTCAGGCACAAATCTACCCAGTGATGTTCAGATGCCCTCAGCCCTCTGGTTAGTTTCTGTCCCCCTTCCTTCCTCTAATGCAGTCCCCACAGTGCAGTGCCACAGTTCCCCTCCTGCTTTGGAACCCCATGTTCCATGCAGCAGGTGAGCCAACGGAGGCTGTCTGATCTCCACAGTGCGCTCCATGTGAAGGTGTACCAAAGCTTTGCAGTCCTGGTTCTGTGTCTTCTGGATGTTCTGTGCTGTGTACTTTGGAGTTAACAGCCCCACGTCCTCCTTGTGCAGCAGCGTCCTCCAGTCGCTTAGTTGTGCTGTATGGAGGAAGAAGGGTATAATGTGCTGAGCCTCAGTTGCTTGCTTTCTACTCATGAGTGAGGGTGTTTCTGCCACACTTCAATGGCTCTGCCCACAAGCATTTTAAAGCAGATCTCTAAGGTAGTGTCGTGTTCGGCACTATTTCTTAAAGCATTTTTTTCCTGCAGAAAGATCTGCACACTGCTGCTGGCTCCTGCAAGTCCTGAGGAACTGCAAAGACTGCAGGTGGTGCATGTGGGCTCTTCTCAGGATCTCACCCAGGAAATCTGGAACCTCGGGCTGGGTGAGGTCTGGTCCTGTGAACCCAGGCTGGCAGCCTCTGTGCCCATGCATGTTCACCACCAAACTCCTGCAAGGCTGCAGGCTACCACAGCCCTTGGGGTCAGAGTAATTACTGTCGCTTTGCTGGCCTGTTGCAAGCAGCATTTTCTCTACTTGTAGAAGGGCAGGAATTTATCTAATTGGATTCTGTGCGCAGAAGAGCACCAATCCCTGAACACTCAATGCAAATGCAGGACAGCTGTGGCTGTGTGGTTTTGGTGGAGCATAGCTCAAAGCCTTGCTGACGTTCGAGGAGCAGTTGCATATTTCCAGGTAGAGTCAGGGCTTTTGTCAGAAAACAAAAGAAGCAGCAGAACCACAGTGCATTATGTCCCTTAGGACTCCACTCTTATAGGCAGTCACCTTACTGCAGGGTGCTGGGACTCAGCCCTTCTTACTTGGTGCCTCTGTTTTACCTTTCTGTCCTCAATTGTGAAGTGTGGCGTTGGGTTTGAGATTGTTATTTTTTAACATGGAGATTGGTGTTTCTAGTTCAAAAACATGGTGAGATTAGAGGAGAGTTTGTGAGAAAATCTTGACCACTCCCAAGAGGTAACTATTTACATTTTTGTACAAGCTGATAGCTCATATCTTTAGCATCCTTCAAACATAACCCTTGGAACCAGTAACATGAGGGAATAAGTTCATGTATGGGGCTGAACTTTGCAGTGCACGTGATGGAAATCTGAGATTGGAAATGGGTTGTGGGGCCTTTTGGAGAAGTTGGCATCACACATTGCCCGTTTGGGAAGGATTAAAGCCAGCAGAAGATCAACCATCACTGCTCTTTTGGTAGCAAATTGGAAGCTTTCAGCCCCAGTTCAGCACCAGTTGCTTGGTGCAACAAGCAGAGGCAGGGTGCATTCTCTTCCTCCTCTGCTCCTCCACATTGTCTGAGGCTCTCACATGCTGCTGCAGAATGTGCAGTTCCATCCACACGATTTGGGTTCTTCCTCTTACCTTATATTCTTAGCATTGAACTTTCCTACTGATGTTGTATGTCAGATGTATGAACTCCCTCCAACAGTTAGGATCTGTTCTGGGGTGCCTGGTTAATGCTGACCCCTCGCCAAGGGGACCGTATTAAACAGAGCAAGCCTGAGACTGGGCAAGGTTACCTGCTCTAACAAGTTCAGTGTCAGGTGTCTTGTTTTCAGCACTAGAGCACTGGAGCAGATTTCCATCCCCGGAAGAGGTGATTCTGAAAAAAAAGAAACCAAAAAGCCGGAGCTTTTCTTGGCTAAAAGGTCATAGTTTAGGAGTATAGTTTGGATTAACTTGCTTTAATTAGAAGATGAATGAGTACATAATGTATCACTATTTTTAATGGTAATGAACTGGGGAGGAGATCACTTTAACAATTCACGTGCTGAAGTTCATGGATCTGATCTTTCTCCCAGTGCGGAGCTGCACGGGTTGGTGTTCAGGCCCTATGTGACCCAGATGTACTCACACTGAAAGCACTGTCCACAAAGACCCACTTCTCCAAACAGTACATGGCTTTCTTGGAGCACAGGAAACTTGTCTGTCAAGGACATGTTCTGCTTAGATCTGATGCATTGTGGAGCTGCTTTCTCCCCCTTACTGAAGCTGCACGACTGCCTGCTGGGAGCCAGGAGGTTTTTGCATGACGTGTAATCCCTCAGAACACAGAGGGGTGGTTAACAGGAGTGTGACCTAGCCACAAACTGTGCATCTCAGGAGATAAAAACCAAAGAGGTCGGGAATCTCAGGGCATGCCTCTGCTCCAGGAAGCCTCAGTATTGTGCGGGTGGAGTGAAGGCACACTGATCAGCAGGTGCTCTGCCATCCATGCGAAGCTGTAGCAGACAAGCAAAATCCTTTGTTGCTGCAGTTTTGCTCATCTGGTTGCGATAGCTACTGTAAGTGAAAAGTGGAGCCATGGAACCTAATAAAACAGTGTCTGCCTTATTATTTGTTGAGCTAACAGTGCAGCAGGTTGCCAGAGAGGATGTTCACACTGTAGAGGACAAGGTGATACCTGCACATAAATAATATTATCTCTCCACTGGCCGCAGCTCATGTCCCTCCTGAGCTCTGCAGATGAGAATATTCCTGGAGACCTGAGACTGCACACCTTCATCAAATATTTTACACAAATATTGACTTCCCCGTGCACACAAATGCATGGAAAGGAGTGTTTGTACAGTGAAAGCTGCACTGATGCAAAATTAGTCACACAGTCCCCTAAACATAAGCTTAGTCAATATTTTCTCAAATAATAACCCATTTCAAGTCTCTATGGGAAAGAGACTATCCAGAAATTTGTGACATGTCCAAAATAGCTGGATATTTTTATTAGCTTCTTTCCTCTGATTGCATCATCTGGCTGAGACGCCGCAGCAATACACTGACTTTCAGCTATGAGGCCATTCCAGGAGGCTTTGCTGTGTTTTGTAAGGACAGAATGCTGTCTGAGATCTGCTGTGGGCAGTCAGTAAGCTCGTTCCTGCAGGCATCTTCCCAACAGGCCCACAGTGTTAATGCAGACACCAAATCTCTGTGTGGCACATCTGAACACCAAGGCACGTGTTCTGTGGGTCAGCTGGCAGCGTGTTCTTGTTCTGCTCATGTGGTCATTTTACAGGGAAGGGGATGGAGAAGGAAGAAGATGGATGGCAGCAGGCAACACGTGAATCCTTTGCTACAAAAACAGTGAGACAGACTCACCAGTTCCCTCTGGGAGTGATCCTAGCGTGGAGCAGCCTGAGGTTCTTGTTCTGAGCCAGTTTATGCTGTGGGGAAGCGAGAAGCTCCTGACCGGATGCATTGCTGGTCTGTGTTGACTTTGTTATGCATCACACCACAGGAGCTAATGGACTTCTGTGTTAACCTCAGGGGCCAGTGGCTGTATCTCTAAAATGTGTTATCTCTGTCAACTTGGAAGCGACTGCCCAATGTTGTCATCCACACTTCATCAGTTCTGGGAGAGAGCAGAGCACTGGGGACAGGGACTGAGACTGTCACAGGTGCTTTGATTTAATTGTTCTCTGCTGTGGATACAGTACATGAGCACGGCGAGATCTCAGACAGTGCCATTTCAGTGATGGTTTATGGAAATAAAACGAGGAGGTGACTCAGGATGAAGGAGACTGAAGTTGTAGGGAAGTGGAGGAAAGAAGAGGTAAGAGAAAGAGTGGAGTGTCAGGGGGGAAATGCAGGGCCAGGGCGAAATAAGGGGCTTAAGGCTCTCCAGGGTTCCTCCAAACCAGCATTTCCCCTCACTGAATACTTTAAAGCTGTTGTATCTGCTTCTGTGCAGGGTAGAAGAGACAACCAAAGAAGAGAATTACAAAGAGGTTAAGAAGAAGGATTATTACCAGCTTCCTATTCCACGTGCGAATATTCACTTACTGCAGAATTGGGAAGATATGATGCAATGCTGTGAAAAGGTGCTGCAGGTGAGCATTACTGTGGTGTTTAAGCCGGAAGATAAGGGAGCAGAAAATGCGTAACAGGCTGGTACATGGGAGTGCTTATGGGTGCCATTAACACCTCCCTCCTCAAGTCAAGGACTGCAGTGAGGCCTGTAGGCTTGTCAGCCTGGGTAGCATGCTGGGAATTGCTGTGGCAGGGAAACCCCACAGGTGTACTTTGAGTGAACTGTGAATGTCACTTGAGATTGGTGTCATTTGCACCCCTGCAAAGAGACACAGTTGTTGAAAAAGCAATACGTGTATCCTGGGTAGTAACTGTTTTTCAAGGTGGTTCAGGCGATTTTTAAGCGTGGACAGTCTGCAAGTGCAGAAAGCTTTTCTGTGTTGCAGCCTGGGCAGATTGTTGGCATCGACATGGAGTGGAGGCCTTCGTTTGGCATGGTCGGGAAGCCCCGCGTCTCCCTCCTTCAACTCGCTGTGAGGGATGAGGTGTTCCTGCTCGATTTGCCACGGCTCCTTGAGCAAGCTGAAGTCAAGGGTGAGAAAGAGAAGCTTCCCCATATCATCCAGAGGCTCTACTCAGATGCAGCCATCACTAAACTAGGTAACGTGCTTCTCCCCTGCCTCAGGTGTTGAAGGCAGCTCAGCTTGTGTGAAGTGCCTGGGTCCTGCTGGGGTTGTCATTCTCAGTCCAGTTAGCATGGGATGACTTTTGTATCCTGAGTATTCAAAGACTGCCTATATGAATAAGCAGGGTGAACGGGATGGCTGGTAATGGTAGATATCTCCCTTTTTTGAGCTAGATTTCCAAGTTAGCCTCCCCACTCAGGCTTGGGATTGTCTTGGTTAGTTCCATACCAAACCCTGACCTTCAGATGTGTGGGGAAGCTGTGTTTTCTGGATTGGTTGAGCCTGTCCCAAAGCAGACTTGCTGGACACCAACATTCTGCAGCTTACCACGCTGGTTTTAGGCCCTGTTTGGAAGCCTTTGCAGAGGAGTTCAAGGGCTGTTTCATTATCCATCCTCTGAAGTTCACAGAGGCTAAAGGCTTGTGGAGTTTATTCTGTTCACCTTTCCCTGATCTAGCAGATTTTAACAAAACTGAGCTTAAACTCAGCGCTTTTCATCCACTTGTTCTGTCTCAGGATCAGGAAAGATTGGAAGTCTGCAATGTTCTCTATCCAAACAGACTTTCTACCAAAGTTTATATATAGATATCATTAACATTTTGTCTTCAAACTAGAAAAAGCTGCAGCATGTTAGCCATAATTTGAATTTTGCTAATCATGTGATTATTTTTTCCTTTCCAGGTTATGGGATGTCTGGAGACCTTAGCAGTCTTGCAGCCACATGCTCCACTTTGAAAGGCATGGATAAGCAGTCACAAAGCGTAGTGGACCTACTCACAATAGACAAACTAGTAAGGATTAACACTTGAAAACATGGCAAATTGTGTCTTCTGCCTGCCCTGGTAGATAACTGGCATGATTTCACAGCTTTGTGTTTTTGTATCCTGCACTGGCAGGGAGATGGCTGAGTGAGTGAACAGACCTTTTCTGTTTCTGACCTTCAAGGGAAATCTGATTCTGTAGCAAAACAGAAGCATTCAGTTTTCATCAACTAAAAAGTTAGTGCTTGGTATACTAATAACCTTTCACAGGCTTTGTGTGAGCTGTGGAAAAATGGAACCAAGTGGAGACATAGCTCCATTCAACTAGGGAAAGGTTTTGAACGCGGCGCTGCAGGTGAGTTCAGCACAGCAGTGTCTGTTCAGCTGAGATGCAGATGTCTGCGGTTAGCACACAGCAGCTCAGCGACCTGCAGAGTTCTTGAGGACAGCCGCTTCAATGGGTCAAATTTGCAGAGGACATTTCAGGCTTCTGGCTGGGAGGACCCAGATATTTGGGATGGAGAGCTTAACCTGGGAAGTGCAGTGGTGTCTGAAGTACCTGCAAAAGCACTGGCTCATTTTTATCTGAGTAGTGACAACTTCAGAAGGGCTGTTGCCCACTGTGTTGCAGGAAGATCTTTCCTCTGGATCCAGGAGGAGAAAGGTGCCGAACCACTGCTGTGCTTTTATTGAGGTGGTGTTCAGCAGCCTTTAGTTTGCCTGAGTACCCCTGCAAACCTCCAGAGAGCCTCAGTCACAACCCTGCTGCTGGGATGCGATGTTGTCAGACAGTGAACATCTTTTCCTTCTCAGGAAGGAAGGATTTCTTTCCAGCAAAAGCATTTGTTAAGCAAATAATCAGAAGCTTTATGTATCTAATGCCACCCCAGCCCTTGTCTGTGACAATGGGATTCAGTGTGCCAGGCAAGATCTAAAAATGATAGGGTTGCTGTGAGTCCCCACCCACCGAAACAGGAGGTGTTGTAGGATTTGTTTTATAACCACATGTTTTGTATCCTTCTCCTTCCATCAGCTGCAAAAGAGCTCCATTGACTGGAAGAAGGGCAGCCTGAAGGTCGATGCGCTGCCCCCAGAGCAGAGCTGTGAAGATGAAGGGCTCAGGCAGCCAGAAAAAGGGCTCAGCCTCCTGGTGCAACACGTCCTGGGAAAACCACTAGATAAAACAGAGCAGATGTCTAACTGGGAGAAGCGACCACTGCGGGAGGAACAGATCCTCTATGCAGGTCTGCTCACTGACTGCCTCAAGGTGCATTTCTCCCTTGGAGGCCGTGTTTGTCTGATGTCTGTCACCAGTAAAATCATTAAGCGGCAAATGGCGATTCACTCCTGTGTGGAGCAGCCAGCACATGTTCTGTTTGTCCTTTTGTGGACGTGGTTTTAATGGTTGAAGTTTAAACTGCCCAGTGATTCATTATTTCCCTTATGAAGGAATTCCTGTGCTTTGCAGATTCTGTCTGATGAAACATCCCAGTGGAAACTCCTCTCAGTAAATGAAAGGAAGAAAGTCCACTTCCTTCTGCCTCATTTCACAGCCTTTCTGGGAAACAAATGCTGTGTTCATTTGTCACAGTGAAGCGCTTGTTAGAGTTAAAAGTGGGTAGACGTGGTGTCAGAGACTGTAGCACAGGATCTGTGCTGTGGAGGCAACGGTGGCATTTAGTGCTGATTACCCCAGAGTCAGAAGTCTGAGTCTAAATCTTTTCCTGAGGCATCAGAGGACAGCCTGCTGAAGCGAACCAGCCCTTTGTTCGCTCGGCTATCCTTGAAGTTGACACAGTTCCCACAAAAGTTAATCACTAAGACTTGTAAAACTGGCTTGGAGACTTGGCTCCCATTGCGCGGAGCAGAGGCCGCATGGCAGTGCGTGTGGGCAGGTGATTGCAAACAGCTCACTTATTGCTTTTTAAGATATTGCATCTAATGGGGAAGCTGCCTTCCCATAGCTGAGATGCCGTAATAAACCATGGGCAAACCACTTCTCAGGAACAATGGAGAGTAAAATGGTTTGGCAGAAGCTGTCCTACCTGGTGCTTAAGCAGGCACACTGCAATTTGCATTACGTTAGAGCAGAGGTAACAGAGGGCTGTCACTTTTCCAGTTGCTCTGCGTCTATTTTGTGATTGTGCAGTAAAAGAGTACAGGGTATAATGTTAGTAAGTGGAATTTACAAAGATGAAGATTCTTCCTTGCACTGGGAAGTCTGTTTGACTTTTGAGTGAATCCAGCTCATACTCATGTTTTGCTTTTTTTCAGCTTCAGATGCATACTGCTTGTTGGAGGTCTATGAGAAACTGTGTAAGGATCCAGAAAGCTTTGGTCTGAGTTCAGACCTGACTGAAAGTCTGGTGGGAAAAGCAAGTGTAAAACCCAGGGCAAAGAAGCAGCTGAATAAACAAGAGGTACCGTCACCTTCTGGACAGGTTTGTAAACAGCTTCAAAGGGCTGCATGTTGCTCAAGACCCCTGTAAATCATATGTTGCTTTGTCTCTCAGTCATAATATTAGCTATGCCTGGCATGCCTGGTTGTAGTCTGTTCTCAGGACTATTGCAGCAAATATCTTCCTTGCTCCTCCCCTTCACGACTAAGATGTATTTCCTCCTTTGCATACCTCAGTTTGGCTTTCCCTGCAGTTTTAGCTTTATTTGTCCTTGCGAATTTGTCCTTGGTGCAGATCTGTGTGGCATAATCCAGCTTACTTTGCTGGTAGAAATGCTTCTTCTCTGTTTCCTCATTGGTGTGGGCTTGAATGCTGTAGCCTAGGTGTTGCATTAATCAGGTTTCAAAACTCTGGCTTCCTTACTTTTGCTTTTAACTGAACTTCTACACTTTGGTTTCATAATGGGAATGTCCCTTTTATTGCATACGCAGTAAAAGTCTGCTAAATTAAAAACAATTCATCAAAAAGTCTTTCTGCTGATGGTTTGTGTCTGGCCCCCAGCCCACCATTGCACACTCTGGATCTGTCCTCCCCCCTGCATCGTACCTTGTGGCCGAACTTCAAAACTCAGTTGGCAACTTGCAGCTGTGTGAATGCTGAACTATTTTGGAACATGGCTTGTCCTTCTCTCTTGGTAACAAAGTTTTACTTTCAAAATGCAGACATCTGATTGTTTATGCACCTATGAGAACGTTTGCAGGAAGCAAGATTTGTTTATTAACAGACAAGACTCACTGGTCTGTGTTTCTTTCCAAATATTCTCAAATGTGAATGCAGTGCTACCTTCTGTAGACTCATAGAATCATTGAATGGCTTATTTTGGAAGGAACCTTAAAGCCTATACAGTTCAAACACCTCTGCCATGGTCTGGTTGTCAAACACTGTATCAGGCTGTCCAGGGCCCCCTCCAGCCTGGCATTGAATGTGTCCAGGGATGGGCATCCACAGCTTCTGTGGGCAACACTGCCAGGGCCTCATTGCCCTCTGGATAACAATTTCTTCCTAACATCTCATCTAGATTTCCCCTCCTCGTTTAAAGCCATTCCCCCCCCGTCCTGTCAGTATCAGACTGTGTAAAAAGTTCTCCTTCCTGATTATAATCCCCCTTCAACACGCGAGGATCACAGTGCGGTCTCCCCGCAGCCTGCTCTCCTCCAGGCTGAGCACCCCCAGCTCCTCAGCCTGTCTTTGCAGCAGAGGTGCTGCACCCTCTGAGTGTCCTCGTGGCCTCCTCTGGACCCGCTCCAGCAGCCCCACGTCCTTCCTGCGCCGGGGGCCCCAGGCCTGGACGCAGTACTGCAGATGGGGCCTCACGAGGGCAGAGCAGAGGGGGACAATCCCCTCCCTGCCCGCTGCCAGCCCTCTGTTGGTGCAGCCCAGGGTGCTGCTGGCCTCCCGGGCTGCGGGCGCACACTGCTGCTCGTGTGCAGCTCTGTGCCCACCAGGACCCCCACGTCCTTCTCTGCATGGCTGCTCTCAAATTCCTCTCCCATCTGTACTCATAGCTGGCATTGCCCCAACTCAACTGCTATACCTTGCGCTTGGCCTTGTTGAACCTCACTCGGTTTACATGGGGCCACTTGTCAAGCTTGTCCAGGTCTATCTGGGTGGAATCCCTTCCTTCTGTTGTATCAGCTGCATCACTCAGCTTTGTGTCATCTGCAAACTTGCTGAGAGTGCACTCAATCCCAGTGTCTGTGTCACTGATAAAAATGTTCAAGAGCCCTGGTCCCAAGATGGACCCCCAGGGGACATCACTCGTCGCCAACCTCCACCTGGACCTAGAGCTGCTGGCCACAACCCTCTGTCTGTGACCATCCAACCAGTTCCTTATTCCACCCTTCAAATCCATCTCTCTCCAGTTTAGAGATACAGATGTGGTGTGGGACCATAGCGAAGGCTTTGTGAATCCAGGTAGTTGGCATCAGTTGTCCTCCCTTTTTCCACTAATGCCATCACTCCATCATAGAAGGCCACCAGATGGGTCAGGCACAATGTGCTGTTGGTGAAGCCATGCTGACTATCTCAGATCACCTCCCTACCATTTATGTGCCTTAACATCTCTTCCAGGAGGATCTGATCCGTGATCTTTTCAGGCACGGAGGCGAGGCGCTCCAGCATGTAGTTCCCCAGGTCTTCCTCTCTTCGTTTCTTATAAATGGAAGTGATGTTTCCCTTTTTCTCTTCCAGTCCCTGGGAACTTCACCTGACAGCCATGACTTTTCAGATATGACAGAGTGGCTCAGCAGCCACTTCAGCCAGTTCCTTCAGGATCCTGGGATACATGTTATCCATCCCCATAGACTTGTTCTGCCTCATGAAGTGATCTCAGACTTACTCTGCTCTTACAGTGGGAGGGATTTTGCTTCCCTGACCTCTGCCTAGAGATTCAGGGGCATGAGAGGCATGGGAAGCCTGGCTGCCAGTTAAGACTGAGGCAAAGAACTCATTAAGTACCTCAGCCTTCTCCATATCTGAAGAAACCCCCCCAAAATCCTCTGGGACAAATCTGAGGCTTTCCCCAGTTTCTTCCTAAGGTGACTGTATTCCCTGGCTTTTCTTTGTCACTCAGCAGTTCATCCCCTTCCCTTGTCAAATCTAGCTTCAAGCTCTGGTGATAAGTCCAGCCAGCTTGCTGCCCAGTGTGTTCTTTCCCCTCCTGGTGAGCTGCATCTCATCCAATGTCAGCATTCACAGTCATTTGAAGGTACATCCTAGGTCATGGAACCCAAAGCCCTGGACATAACACCATCCACACAGCCATTCTTTCAGCTGGTCTGTTCTCCTCCTTCTGCCCAGATCCCAGTCTCCAGTGCTCCCGATCCATTCAATGTATTCCCAAGGGACTTAAAGTCTTTTTGATGTTTTTTGATTTCCCAGTCAGAGCCTCATGTGACTCAGCTTGAAAGATCAGGAGTGGACAGTAGTCCTCCAGTTTTATCATACATGGTGTCCTCTTCCTGATGTCACAAATGTGGGCTCATGGCAGTCAGCAGACTCTAGAGAGGCTTGCTGTCCATGGTTGGACAGAGATACTCTTGATCACAGCTATCTTTCCAGTATCCTCCTTATCAAATATGTACATCTGCAGTATCCCATTATTCAGATAGTGATGTGCAAAGCCGCTCAGTAGTTTCCTAATTCCTTGGGCTCTGTGTTCATGGGAGTATTGTGCATTGCAACATACCTGACTGGCTGCTGCAGGGATGGGAAAAGTGAGTACTTCAGGCTTGAATTACCTTGTGAACTCCTGGGTCATCTTTGTATTCTGTACAGTCAGATTCATTAACCACGAGGTAGTTGGTAAAACCCGGACTGGGACTCAGAAAAGCAGACTTTGCCTGCCTGCATCCTGCCTGACTCCAAGCTCTCAGTGTTTCTTTATCCAATACCCAAAGTGGGGCTAATGACACTGTTCTCCTTTAGAAGCCTTTTGCATTCTGCTGGGATGAAACATGAGAAAAAAACTACATATGGCACAGTTAGCCACTGAATAAACACAAGTAAGAGCCAGCTGCTGCTCCTCTACATCTGTTGGAAGGGAGGCAGCACCACATGCTTAAGTATTTTCCGACTACCTCAACGCTGAAGGGCCAACTTGATCTGTTATCACAGACCCTGACGCCTCAGGACATGTCTGTGTTCACCAGGGTCCTTCCAGGAGCTGGGGACAGCCCAGCCTCTCCACGCAGTGCTGCAGAGCCTTCATTGCATGTAGCAGCTTCTGGGAGTGCAGCATCTCACAAATTGAGCCCTGGAGTCTGAGCTGGTTTTAAGAGTCAGCCCAGGTGTGTCTGAATGGTGCTCTGCTGTGTTTCCAAGGCTGAATCAGCTCCTGCATAAAATGAAGTGCTGCAAGGATAGCATAGAATCACAGAATCGTAGCCCTGCATAGATGGTGGCTGTTCCCTTCTGTCATCCCAGCAGATTCAAGTTCCTGAAGGCAGTGCTGAGCCCTGGAGGCTCCTTATTAACTTCCCTTCTCCGTGCATTGTAGTGGGAGCCTCCCAGAGACAAAGTCTCCAACTGCAGGAACTCCCCCAGCAGCAATTTGAAATAAAATAAACACAATTCAGGCACTGCCTATTTTTAAACTTCCGAAGATAACAAGGCCAACATGACTGCTTTGTCTACCTGTTTCTCCCTGTCTGTCAGATCCCCTTCCCACAGAATAACCTTGGAACATCTATATTGATTGCAGTCTAATTTCATAGGGGGATAGCAGTGTGTAAGATATATTTCTGTCTGTGTAAAGCATAGAGGCCAAGGTGGCATTTCTCAAGGAAAGGCTGCAGATCCTTGCTTTGGGTGACCGGGTGTCTGCAGGTAGATGGCTAGTTCCAGATTAGCCCCACCGCGTGCGGCCTTCTGCTCAGGCTGTAGGTGGTTGTTGAAGAGTTGAAGAAAGGACGTGAAGGAGGAGCTGGGGGTGCTGCAGGATGTGGGGGCAGCTGTAACACATGATAGGGGACAGCTGGGTTTGTCACGGTGGGAAGATGCAGGGAGGCAGAACAGGCATGGTGACAGTCAACCTTCTTCTCTGCTGCTTACAGATCTCTTGCTTTTCCGTAGCAATGCAGAGGATCTGATAAAGAGATCTCACGTCCCCCTGCTCCCATCTCCCCAAAAGAGTTCAGCGTGGTCTGTGATAACATGCTGCAGGGCCTTGGGCGCTATCTCCGCTGCCTTGGTGTGGACGTCCGGATGCTGGAGAATGAGGATGACCATAGGAAAGCAGCTGAGGTCAGTGGTGTGTGTGTGTTTATAACTCCCATCTGCACTCCTTGGAGCAGCTTACTGAATTACCAATAAGTCACTCTCAGGAGCTGCAAGCACACGGCTGAGTCCCAGCTCTCTGGTTCAGCCCAAGAAGCTGTGCTGTGTGGCAACTGGAATTTGGTAGTCCCTGCAACAGTGTGTGGGCTTGGTGCCCCATTTCCAGGAGGAAGGAAGTGAGCAGAGTGTGCTGTGAACTCAAATCTCTTACAAGTCTGTGTGTTTGATGGAATGGAATGGAACAGTTCAGTTGGAAGTTCAGAGATCATTAAGCCCAACTATCCAACAACTTTGGGGCTGACCAAAAGGTAAAGCATATCAATGAGGACATCATCCAAATGCTTCTTGAACACTGACAGGCCTGGGGCACCAACCACCTGTCTAGGTAGCCTGTCCCAGTGTCCACAGTAAAGAAATTTTTCTGATCTCCAGTCTGAACCTCCCTGGTACAGCTTTGTGCTGTTCCTGTGCATCTTGTCAGTGGTTATTCAGAGAAGAGACCGGAGCCTCCTTTTGCACTTCCTCTCCTTGGGACATTGTAGAGAGCAGTGAGCTCATCTCTTGGCCTCTTTCTCAGACCAGAAGATTGAGGTGTCTCAGCACACACCTTGCCAGCTTTCTTGCCCTCCTCTGGGCATCCAAACTGTTGACAGCTGGGATGCTTCAAGTCATTAGAGGAATATGAACAGTACAGAGGTGTGACCTCAGTCTCAAGTGACTTTGACAGGGGTGGTTCTTTAGCAACTTGTCAGTGATCAGAGAACAGAAGCCAAAATTCACTTTGGTTTCTAATGGACTCCAGATTGGACTTACAGGGAAGGTATTTGCCTGCCTTGTGCCTGGGTCAATCAAGGAGAAACATAATCAAAAGATGAGTGTTCATTACGAACGGAAACATTTCCATAATAAAGTGCAGTGTGACTTCTAGCTGGCTGCCAGTTGTGAAATGTCTTAGAGGTGATCAGCCACAAATTACACTGACGTGTTTGGGTAAGGAAGAAGTCTCTAACATGCATGGGGACAACAAACATTGATCTGGACTCCCATAACTACTTTGACCCTCTGCCTTTCAGAGGAGAGACTCATGCTTCTTCATTTCAGGCATATTTCTACTATGCCAGAAATGGAGATATCCAGCCCACACAGTGTGCTGCTATCAAATGCACGCTGATCACCCGGCCTGGTGCACAGGATGTTTCCTCTTCAGATGTCTTTTTGGCCTGAATACTGGGCAAGCTCAACTTCTGCAGAAATAATTAATATCTCGTCTCTGCCAAAATTGCAAAAGTTTAAACAAACTGGTTCTCACTGCCTCCCCCCAGAGCCCCATCTCCACTTCTCATCCTGATACCTTATCGTGCTATGGACAGGATGTTTTACATTGCTTTCTCTATGGTGACCACACAAACATCCTGTCACTATCAAAAGCCCTTGGAGTGTTACCGTCTTGCAGAGCCTTTGATCTGTGCTTGGATAATCAAAGATAAAAATAGGCTCCTCCCATCCTGCTTTATATCTAGCAGTCTTGGTTTAATAAATGGTGCATGTTGACCACTGTACACTCAAAAAGCAGCAAATGTTTTTGCAAAGACTGGGATAAAGGCTTGGATCCTGGTCACCAAACACAAGATATGCAGTTTGGGTATTGTTCCACACAGTCTCAAACTGTGCCATAGGGAACACAGGTGTGCATAGAGTTGGTTTTTGTTCTTCATTAAAGTCATTTCATGAAAATGATTTGTCAGCCATGTTACACATCTTGCTCCAAACACTCCTGAGCAGCCTGACGTTTGCTCCATGTTGTTCTCATAAGTGAGGCATTATGAGCATCAAAGTGACTTCCAGTATTGGTAGACAGATGGGTCTTGTCCTTCACCTTCTATTATCTGAGATCAAACTTGAAAGCCCGATAGCTTTGTAGATTGTGCTGGGGCTTGTCAATGTGTGCTTAGGCAGCTACTGATTTTTATTTTTTTAGATTAATGCATCCGATAGCAATAGGAGGCTTGATGGAATCTCAAAGCCCCTTCATCTGAGTTGTGAGTTTTGTTCAGTTTTTTTAATGGACGTCCTTAAAACCATCTTCATCTCTAAGTATAACCCACACACTGAGGCAAACTTGGTATCTTTTGAGATGCAATAGTTTTCCAAAGGCTGGTAGAACTGCCAGGGGCAGAAAGTTCCTTTACAACATTATGTGTAGTCCCCAAAACTTGTGGTGAGACGACAAGTCAAAGAGGAGACTCCTACATGGAGCAGGGAGAACAACATGTGCCTGGTCTGGTTTGGAGACACAAAGGGACCTCTAACACTGCCATTAGCAGAGCTTCATGTGATGATGGAATCTAATCTCTCATCTTGTCTCATTTTGAACATCTTTCTCCGTGGTTTTGATGTAATCACGTTGTTGGGGTGTGCTGTGCTGGTCTTCTGCATCCCCACCAGCATGCAAATTGAATTCACTGAGGGCAGATGGGGAACCAACAAAGCTTTCAGACTTCTGTTCTGCTTTGGAGATCAAGACTTAGCTTTTGATGTTGGGTCAGCAGAAAGAGAATTTCTTTGGAGACGTAGATACAAATGTTGTCTGCAGTAAGAAACAAAGCTAGCTTTATGGTTTAATCTCCTGCTTAAGGCCATGTTACAAAATCATAGCTTGCTCTTTGCAATTTGTGACTTTCAGGAATGCTGAGGAGAAGTCTAGGCTTAGAATACCAGCAGTACAGCAAGTGTCCTGCAGCACTGGGCTGAGCATTCATAGTTATTAAGTTAACTGGGGTATTTTGAGAGCCTCACACTGCAGGTCAGGGATGTCAGGGTTGGGTTGAGGTTTGTGAGCCACTTTCCAGTAGATCCTTGGCACTGCTGGGCCTCTGCCACTGCAGGGGGTCACAGCTTTTCCTGCACTGCTACCTTGCAGTGGGAGTGCTTGCAGTTTGCCTCTTCTAGGACGCATCACTTTGTCCAACACGTGTCATGCAAAGGCTTGGCAGCAATTTCAAGCAGTTTCTCTTACCTTTAAATTACAAATCTATGGCTTTGCTCTGCTGGCTTTTGAAACCTTCTTTGGCCTTAGTTCAGGATCCTTCAGGTTATCACGAATCTTTTTGTTGCTGGTGCTGGCTTCGAAACGTGGGATCTGTCTCTGCCCTCTTCTGTTTGTTGTTGCCCTTCCAGATCTGTCTTGTAGTAATTCACTGTGCTCATTCACCCCTGCCAGATGAAAGTGAGCTGAACAGACAGAACTAGGTAATAATTCCAAGTTATTAGGGAGTGCTCTTCATCCCAACGGTCTGAGCTGATGCTATCTTTCTTCATACAACAGCTGCTCTGAAAGTAATGCCTCCTCTTTTACTCTGCTGGCCCATGATGTCGGATGCGCATGTGGGTGGGATGACAGCAGAGGTTGAACCTTCCCACTGATGTTCCATTAAATTCTGTTGCCGTGTGATAGCTGACAGCAGAGGGGTAGTCTGAAAAATTGCTGTCTAATATAGAGGCATGTATGGAGCAAAGGTGTGGAATTGAGTTCCTCCATGTGGAAAAAATGGCACCCGTTGACGTTCATCCAAGCTTGTGAGCAGTGATGGAAAGCAAGCAGTGGATGTGAGCACCAATCATACATCTCCCAGATGGTGCCAGTGCTGAACTTTATGACTTCTCTCAGGGGAAGAGAAGGAGCTGTTCTCTTTCCTCCATCATGTATCCTCTGCGGGTTGCAGTCAGATGTGTGCTATCACATGCATTTTCTGGCTCTGCCTGCTTCTCCCAGTGATTGTTCCAGAAGCAGAAAAACATGCTGGAAGAGTGACTGCTTTTCTCCTTTTTATTTGATGTTCTTTTCTGGTACTCTGCAGAGACATTTAGATAAGGGGATTTATCAAGCTTGAACTAATTAACCCTGAATGCAGGAAGTCAGAATGGAGCGTTCAGCTGTGAAATCCTCAGGCTTATCCTGAAGCACACATGGGTCTGAAGGAATTTCCTATCTCCCTTCCCATGTCGGCGAATCACTGTGGTGGAGTTTTGCCTTTCCCTTAATGGACTTCTCTTGCTGATGTGCCTTGAGGGTGATTTGTTGGCAGGTCCATTCTGTAAGCCAGGCTGCTTGTAGTGGCATCATGTGCAGCAAGGGCTGTCTCTGCTCCAAGGTTCCTGTGCCTAGAGTTTTTTTTCCTTTACTTGTGAGAGAGGGTTGATTTTGCCTGCAGGATGATGCTTTAGAAGTTGTTGCCAATTGCTTTCTCAATGCAGAATTGGCAGCCAAAGCAGTGACTTCACATAAAAAAGGAGGAAGGAGGCTACCTGAAAGGTCACGATAGGAACAAAATGATCACTGCTTTTACTGCAAGGGCAGTTGGTGCCTTGGGAGCATTCTCAGCCTTGTTTCATGTTGCTGTGAGTCAGGTGGGTCTTAAGAGAAGAGCAGTCCAAGGCAGAGTTTGTAACATCTCAGTCTGTAATTCGTCGGCGTTCCCTGGCTGTACTTGGTGCTGTCAGACTGCCTGGGAAGTGCATCAAGGCTCAGATCCCCAATGTATCCCACTGCCAGGGTTACACAGTGATCCAGAGAGAGCTTCTGAGGCAGATCCAGAAGAGAGACCTCCATGACACACATCTGGAAACAGTGAAAAACACGAGGGCTTCCAGCAGAATGGAAGCCAGAAAAGAGAAAACGTGGTGCCTACTCCAAGTGCCAATCTCTTGTCAGCACCAGCAGAGCAGAAGTGCTGGTTCACATGGGAACCCTTCCATTCCTATGGAGGCAAAGAGGTTCCTCTGTTAGAGTAGAGGACGAAGGGATGGGAGGGAGCAATGTCATTTCATCATACGAGGATCAGCCACACTTTCATCTCTGTGAAGAACTGCAGTTCCAGATTTAGTATGTTCTTTTGGCACCAAACCGTCTGAACGTTTCTCTTACTCCATTGCAAAGGTTGCGAGTGTGGATGATGAGACCCCTGCTCGTGCAGTGCAGAGCTTTCCCCTGAGGACCAGGCCTCTGATAAAAGCACAGGGTCGCAACCAGGAAGGGACAGGCTCTCACGGAGGTGTTCTTCATAGCCTCAAAAGGATGCAGAATTGCTGTGTGTCTGCTTGTGGGCTACTGGGAAAATAGCACCATCTTATCTCTGAGGGGTGGAGTGAGCGTAGTTCTGTGACTGTCTGTGAAGATCACAGTGGCATACAATGGTACTTTGGTGTTTTTGCTGGGAGTGTTTTTCCTTTCTCACCTGTGTATTTCTGTGGGAGCAGAACTGCTTGCTTCATTGTGAACCACACTGGGGAAACAGAGGTGGTCTGGGTTACGGCAGTAAACAAGAAAAAGAAAGAAAGAAAAAAAGAAGAAAAAGAAAGAACACTTTCTGATAGGATTATTTCAAGGTGGATCCGTTCCCTGCACCATCTGCAATGCAGATGCACAAGTAGCTGTTCCAGCACATGTGAGACAGGCGGGGGTTGGCAGGGAGGCGACGTGTGCTGAGCGAGCCATACCTTAAGCTGCTGTTGCTGTCAGAAGCATCTTGCTGAACCAGACCCAGATCGTCTTGGCAAGTGCACATCCACATGCAGAGAAAAAGCCCGTGTCACCAGTTCATGTTCTCTCTGTTTTGACTGAGTCCAGTGTCAGCTTCAGTCCACGTTCCTTACGATTTGTACTGTTGTTTTGTTGGCTTTTTTTCCAGATTGCCAGACAGGAGGGAAGGGTCATTTTAACCTCTGGACTCCCATATCAGACTGTAAGTATTCAGGGCATTTTTCTGGTGTTGTACCATTGCATGATGTGGAATGAGCAGAGTAGAGAAGAGGACCAGTCTGATGAGAAGGCAGTTGCTGTTTTGGCTTTTGGATGTTTCCTGCACTAAGAACTATGTAGGGTCCTGGGAGGCTGGCTGTTGTTTCTGAATGGCCGAAGGTTGGGGTAAAAAGTCTTCTACACACAGCACTTCATCAGAGGGGAGTGCAATTGACTTCCATTAAGGAAACTAAAAAAATACAAAATCAAGCTCAGCAATCTCAGAACGAAGTGTTTCTGTTTGGCCTCACAGGCAGGTGAGAAGCAGCTCAGTTCTCATGCCTTTTATCACAGAGATCCTTGTTTACTGACTGGCTCCTCACTGACACAGTTTCAACACTTAGAGACTTTTCTTTGGGTTTGGAAAGGAGAGACTGGAAGCCACCAAACATGAGTCCAGGTGGAAGCTGTGAAGGCTTACTGTTTCTAAACACACACACAAAAAAAAGCCAGCAGAGTGAAACCAAACCTTGCCCTCAGCACCAGATGTTCAGAGCCCTTCATGAGACATACTTCAAAACAGCGTTGATGGGAATATATTGAACCTGTTGTATCACTGGTTGCAATGCTGTAATGCCTGCTGCAAGTCTGTTGCAGTTTGTTATTACTCAAACATTCATTTGGAAATTTCTCTGTATTACACACATGAGCCAGAGTGCAGGGCTTTTTTTGCTACAAACTACTGATACAATAGTTCCCAATAACTCAAATAGTTTCTTAGAGTATTTGCTGAGCTGAGGTGGTTAATTTCCTAGATAGCAGCTGGGCACTGAGGAAAGCTCTCCCCACGACATGATGCTGTGAGGTGACTGCAGCTGTGCTCTGCTGCAGGTTCCTGATCTAGGCAGTTCCCAGAGCCTACAGCGGATGCAGCAGGTAATTCAGAGGCCAGCATGATCTTATTTGGCCAAACTTCAGTTTCAAAGCACCATGTAGGAAGTGCAAAAGGGAAATAACTGCTTTGCAGTGTACAGGACTGCCCTGGGAAGTATCTGGTCCCTTTGCTCCTTGCCTCTGTGTGTGCTGCGCTCAGACAGGATGGCTGTGCTGGGCTCCTTCTCACAAGTATAAGACATGGCTGGGCCCAGCTTGCTGTCAGTGCTCATCATGTTGATAAAGATGTGTCGGAACCCTTCCCAGTCCTTTTTTTTCTTCACACTTTTCTGCCAAGTGTGAACCAAACATCAAGGGAGTGTCCACATCAATCTCTTCCAACTCTTTGGCCATCAGTGAGCTCCAGGTAAAGGTGGATAAGGGATGAAGTGACAAAGCTGTCATCAGACACCGCCCTGGCGGTGCCTTTACCTGCAGCGTGAGATCCAGCCGCGTTTCACGTGTGATCAAACTCAGCTTCCAGTGTTATTTGTAATTAAAACCAAACTAAGCAGGGGAAAAAGAGGGGGAAAGAAAAAACAAATCGGGATGCACGGAGTGCCTCATTTCTTTTGGTTTGTGCCTTGTCTCTTCCAGCTGCAGTCCCAGGTGGGGGAAGGAAGGTGCTTCTCTGTGAACTGCTCGGAAAAGGCCAAGGAGCAGGCGCTGCAGGTGCTGAAGCACTTCAACGTTCGCGTGACGCTGGCGGACATCTTCAGCCGCTGCCAGGTAGGACGAGTGCTGGCCATCGCACGCCTTCTCGCTGTCCTGGTGCCCCAGCAGCCGCTGCTCTTGGGGTTTTGCACTCTGCTTGGTTTCCAAGTTTCTGCTCGAACTCTGTGCGAAGCCGTGAGTTTGGGGCCTGCTGACATCCAGCAGAGGTGCTGATGAGGTCAGAATTGCAGAGGCACTGCTCCTGCGCCTCGCTCCAAACTGCGGGGTTCCAGTTTTTGGTACTTGGCACGTGTTTTGGCATTGGCTGTTTCAGTTACATTCTCTTTGTTCCTGCGTTCTCTGTCTAGGACACACGCTGTTTTAATTATAAACCGTGTTTAATTATGGCTCTGTGACTCTGATAACACTTAATTACTTTAATAGAAGGACTTTTTTTTAGGACCATTTCATTTCAGTAGCGATTAGGATAATTCATGTCCATGCTAGTTGATGACTCCAGATTGCGTTTGGCACCAAATGTCTGCAGGTTGTTTTTAAGAAGAAATTTTAATTGCGTTAGTTCAAATCTCCATCCTTTCCAATTTCTCTCTTGTATTTGTTACAGTGACACGCCACAGCCCATCCCTTCAAAACCTGTTGTATAAACCAAATGGCAGCTTCACCATCTCTCACCTTATCAGCGTTCACATAGAGAAAAAGAAGAAACTGTACAGCTCTCTGCTAGGAGTAAATAAGCCAGTAAATCCTGACTCTGTGCCTTTCAGTCAATCTTAGCAGAGTCTGCTGGCCCAGTGCAATGCACATGTTCTGTAGAAGCAGCAGTGACTCCTGGGCAGAGAGCAATATCTAGAACTCTGCGTGTACCTGATGCTAGTTGCCGAAACCATGTCTGTACCTTGTAGCAAAAGTGAGAGTTGTCCATCTGTGCAGGTTGTCTGTAAGATGAGAATGATGTAACAGCACGTAGATGGGATCAGTGCAACGTGGGCTGATGGGCTGATCCTACTGCAAGATAAACGTGTGTGCTCAGGTGTCAGATAGTGCGTTCAGTCTCATGTTTTTATTGCTCCAAGAACGGATCTCAGTTGTTACGTAGTGACCTGCTGGCTTTTTTGCTGTTTAGAAAAGACAACGTGCGGATTCAGTGATTCTCTGAGTTCCCATAATGTGTGAGTGCTCTTCCTGGTGGTTGCTGAAATGCCACCTGAAGGAGCACGCACAAAAAAACCCTGCAGGAAACTGCAGCATCTGTCATAAATGCAGAAGGCTGTGAAGCATCCAGTCTGAATCCAGCCCCTTGCTCACGGTCTGGGGTCTGAAACTGCTTAGCTGTGCAGCATTTTTAGTGCGTGCTGTCTTAATTTATAGTATAAATAGGGGTAATCAATCTGGCTAGGAATATATATGGAGTGTTCTCTCACTTCTAGGAGAAATGCCTTCCTTGTAAATTGTGGTGGTAGAACAGCTGCATGTTTTATACTGCTAGGCATGGGAAGATGCTATTATTTGTCAAACTGCTCTGTGTTCTGAATCATGTATTTGCCTGCATTTAAGGCATTTCGGAGCTGATTTTGTTCAGCTGTCCTCTGCAGCCTATGCAAGTTTCATTGCTGTGATGCTGTTGCCCTGGGGGTGAATCCTGCAGTGCACAGCTGTCTCCATGCAGACACCGGCCCTGTGCAGCGTGTGGGGAGAGCTGGGGTCAGAGGGTTGAGTGGGATCAGGGTGGTGCTGCCTAATTGCTTCCTGAAGAAATGGCAGATTTCTGCATTTTAAAGGGTCCTCAAGGCTGGCTGTGGCCAACAGAGGCCTCAGCGCTTCATCTTCAGATTCTCTCTAAAGCATCCTAATTCTCTGCAAACCTAGCACTTAATTAGGATGGAGGCTCCTGTTCCTCCCCACAGTCCCTGTTCTGGTCTCTAACCAGGTTACAGATCTCAGGGCTTGAGTTCTGCCACCTCCTCCCAGAAATGTGCATTGCTGATGGCTGGCTGGGACCTGGGACTGTCCCTGGAGCAGGGGAGGGCAGCAGGCAGGCCTGCCTTGCAGGAACACCAAGAGCAGGAGGTGCCCAGGCCACAGCAGCTCACGGCCAAGGCACAGCACAGCTCTGCTCACCAGCACTGGAAGTCCCTTATCAGCTGCAGTCGCCTCACGTAGATAAGGGTTTGCTGCATGTCACAGGAAGCAGTGTGGCATCCTGCCTGCCTCGCACTGTCTCATGGAGCAAGGGTTTGTTTTGTCTCTTGAGCTTCTCGTGCAAGTGATTGGAGTGAATGCATCAGCAAATGTTGTTGCAGTAACAATTAATGCGTGTAGTGTGGAGCAGATGGTAAAAATGGGGCTCAATTCAATGCTGTAGCCAGGATTGCTGTAAAATATATTTCTTACGTCGGGTCCCTCAGTGGGGATGGACGGTGTCCATTTTGCAGATATAGAGAGTGGACTGGCTTTGTAACTCTGCCAGAGCACCACCACTTTCTGCTAGAACAATGGCAAACACCAGTTACCTCTGTCTGACTTCTCTCAGCAAGTGCAAGGAGAACTTTACCTACATGCTTCTCACCATCTCTGCCTTCTGCAGCACGACTGCTCTGCTCAAAAGCCCCAGGAACAGACAAGCCACCAGCAGGGCTGGACACATCCTTCCTGGTGTGCCCATCACACACATCCCTTGTGTGCTGTATCCCGGGGCTTGGTGGTGCTTGTGGAGAGCCGCCTGCGCCCAGAAGCCTGAGCCAGGGCTCCTGTTATCCTCAGAGAGGAACATACTAGATTACTTGAGCAGAAATAAAATGAAATTTGTCTTTTGATGCCAAAAGGCCTCAAGACATTATGTGCTTCTTTAGCTCCAAAATCTGTGAAATAAACCTCTTTCCTCCATCTATCAGAAATGCAGATGTGCTCATTTGATTATCTCATATCCACCTTTTCTTCTTTCCCAATAGTCAGAGGTCACCCTTTTGGGAGCGGTGATGCGAAGCGGAGCTCAGCACTGCGGTGCCTTTGGTGCCCAGCAGGGCTGCATGGAGCCGTCGAGGGCATCTGCCAAATGGCCTCGAGTGGAGGCTCAGCCCGTGCGGCACAGAGGAGGTTTTCAGGCACCCTGCCTTTGAGAAAAATCAGTGTCTGCTAATGAAGGTGTCCACGAGGACAGCTGTGTTCTGGGTGCAGATGGGGGACAGCTGGGTTGTTTTACCTGGCGTTTGACATTTGGCACTCTCACCGGTCTGTCTGTGCACGGACTCTTGGAAACAAATGTGCTGCCGGCAGACATGGCCTGGATGACTGACTCGCCTTCTCCCATCTTGCTTTCTGTGCTGTCTCACTGAGTGGGGCAGGCTGCATCTGATGACCCCGAGTGTGGGCAGTGCCTCTGTTTGCTGCCCCATCTCACAGTGAGCCTCAGCCACCAAAGGATTTCTTTCCTCAGGCTGAGGTTTGGCACAGGACTGGCTGCCAGTGCCACTGAGACTCTACTTCTGCAAGAACAGCACAGATCTGGAGGGGCTGGGAGCCCCTGGCAGTGAGCAGGGCTTGGTGCAGACTGAAATCAGATTGGAACTGTTTATCTCAGGAGGAGATGAACAGTGTGAGTTGTTGCTTTTAAACCTGTGTATCACCAGTGTTTATCACAGAGGTTCAAAGGGAAAACAGTGTGTGTTGTGGTAGAAAGGCTGGTAAATCCTTCCTGGTACAGAAGAACCCATCATGAAAGGTTTGTAACTGCTGCAGACCTTGCTGGTTTGCAGTGCCAAAGGGAGATTCTGAGTCAGGAGGGCGCATCTGTCTTCCCATTGACCTGAGGGTGTAAAAGCTACCCAGCTGAGCACTGAGGTTTAGGGGGATTCTGCTGAGCTCATCCCTTGCGCTGGGCATGAGAACAGCAGGGTTGTCTTTGGGCTGATCCTGTGGCTGCTCCTGCTGCAGAGCAGGGACCCCTCCGAGCAGTGATACCCAATGGGATCTGCACCTACAGTGCAGTGGGGTCTGCACCTTCTACAAAGTTTTGAAGCTTTCCTGCAAACAAAAACGACTGCCATTACATCCCCTGTGAAAACAAGCGTGCAGGGAACAAAACACCTCAGGCTCCAAGTGCAGTTTCTGCAACTGGACAGCCCTGCATTTGTTACGGGATTATCTGCAAATTCAAATAGGTCGTCTCTTTCACTTCACTGAACACTCTGATCCTAAATAAGCAAATGACATCACCTATTCTGATGTCCTGTTTAACTTATGACCTCAGACCGAGCCCCGCAGGATGTGAGAGATAACTGCTTTATTTCATTGTCTGGAGATCTGATACGTTTTCTCTCTCCCCCCTTCCCTGCTCTTTCAGTTCCGCTCACCCCATCCCTTCGGAGAGGTGTTCGCATGGGATCAGGAGTAGGTGGGGGGCTGGAGGGGGTGGGAGGAGAGGAAACCACCATTTATTTTTTTCAAATGAGGTGCAAAAGTGTTATAACAGTTACAGCAAAGGTTGCTGGTTTTTGTGGTTAAGGTAACGAATTTCAGTGCTGCAAAGCTCATCATGTGCAAACTGATTTATGCAGCGAGCCTTGTACAGAGCAATCCATTTAGCAGGGACAAAGAGAAAGTCCTTATGATGAGATGAAAAACTCAGTGCTTGGGGCACTTTGCGAGAACCTTTGAAGCCGGCCTGGGAACTCTGGCAATATTAGTCGATAATTAGTAATATAGATCCCCCAAGCTGTTGTTTAGGTTGAAAATGTGCGCGTCTCTCATGAGCCTCTGTCACACCAATCTGATCAGCAGGCTTTTTCGTTCCTTTTATGTGGGTTGTTCTGTCTGTCCAGATGATGATGAGAACTCCCAGACATCATCTTTCTCACTTACTTGTGAGCCACGCAGCCATCTCCCTGCTCTGTCATGTCGTGGAAGTGGGACCAGGGCAATTTTGTTTTGTGGTCACCTTTCTTGGCCCGGACAACAGTCATTTCATTCTTCTAAATGTAGCAGTTGTGCTTCCCCATGCTCCAGGGGAATAGAATGTAAAGGCTACGTATTTCATGAGCTGCTTCTGCCCTAAAAGA